CTTGAAAGTTCCTCATTATATTAGAATATCATATCCCCCAAAACCCTATTGTACTCATCAAGGCCCTTTATCACCTTTGTCCCCTTGTTGGACCACAGAGGATCTTATCTAGGAGCATCGTTCAGAGGCTTTAAAGGGCTAACCTAGTTTACGGCAGCCCGTATCATAACCCTAACGGTACTTATAACTGTACTTTCGAAGTCCCATGAACCCCCAAGTAGACCCTAAACCCTAAACCCTATAGATCCCTTTTAAGGAACCCTTCTAGATCCCTTGAAAGGAGCCCTTTACCTGGAGCCGCGTTAGGGTTTAGGGTTTAGAGTTTAGGGGTTTAGGGTTTAGGGGTTTAGGGTTCAGGGTTTAGGGTTTAGAGTTTAGGGGTTTAGGGTTTAGGGTTCAGGGTTTAGGGTTTAGAGTTTAGGGGTTTAGGGTTTAGGGTTTAGGGTTCAGGGTTTAGGGTTTAGAGTTTAGGGGTTTAGGGTTTAGGGGTTTAGGGTTTAGGGTTGGAGCCCCGTTCTAAAATGTTGATGATTAAGGCCCCTCTGGGAGTTTCATTGGTAGTTGCAAGTGGAGTTACAAGTAGGGTAACTGTAGCTATGACCCGCATAACGGGACTTTTACCGTGAAGCTCCAAAACCCTACCTCTACCTTAACCTACCAAAACCTACTTTTTTGTAGGATCCCTAGAAATTCCGTATTAAGGTCTATAATAAGAACCTAGAACCTACAAAAAGGTAGGTTTTGGGAGGTTAAGGTAGATCCCAAACCTCAACCCCGCTCTGACCCCTGAACCCTAAACCCTATCCCAAAGGGTCCTATGTACCGCTATAGTAGAATGTAGGGTTTCCATATTCTGAATCACTATTATGACTTAGGGAAGTATTCCCCATAACAGTACATAGGACCCGTTGGGTATGCAAATCATTACGGCCCTGATTCTGTACCTTTACGTATTACAGGGGCCTAACTAAACACTTTGGGGGTTCCTGATTATAAGTATAGTGGGCCCCGTAACCTTTTTCTAATCATAAAGGCCCCTAGATTCCAGTACCCTTTTTGATCCGTTATTTTGACCCTTTAATTAGACCCTTTTAACGAAACCCTCTTTACCTAAGCCCCCCGCTGGGCCCTACTCTAATTATTAAGGCCCCTATATTAAGCACTCTCTTCGCGTGTTTCTCTCGTCGAAGGCTACGAGCGCAGATCTCTCGTTTCTCCTGGCTGCGCCCTAGGAGGGGGGGGGTGGAAGGGCGGGTGGTTTAGGGCTGAAAATAGGCATTTAGGGCTTGGGAAGTTTAGGGTTTAGGAAGTTTAGGACTAAAAGTCGGGATTTCAGGTTTTGGGTTTAGTTTAGAGTTTAGTTTAGGGCGAATAGGGGTCGAAATAATTGAAGATACTATTATTCCTTCGGCTTCCTTACACATCGTTAGTTATAGTTTCCTAAGCTATATACCCCGAAGCCCTGTTTCGATTGTTACGGAACCTACATTAGGGAGATTCGAAGATGAAGCAAAACATACCGACACGTCTGCTGTGTTGATATACAGAGGGCATGGGCACATACTTCTCTTTACCTATCTACATGTATACATATACACGTCTACACATCTTTACATATACACACGTGTAACATGTCTCCAGTCTACAGATATATCTATATATATATATATATATATATATGTATTTATATATACATGTATATGTATATGTGCAGATAACAATGCAAATAGGTATGTTTGTGCACAAGCATACATTCATACATGCATGCATGCATGCACCTATGACCTATGCACACACGCACACATGCACCCGCCTACCTACCTGCCTACCTGCACACCGCCGTACCTACCTACCTACCTACCTACCTACCTAGACACACATATACATGCGTACATACGTCCATGAAACATCATAGCAAAATACAAGAGCATAGTCACCGAATACATCGCACCCCGCGCATGCATACATACAACCATACATACATACTGACATACTCACACGCACACATTTAGATGCGGACATCCACGCACATTTACTGACGTTTGTGTTGTGTCAGGATGCATCCCGACACGTCACGTCAAGGGCTGTCGCTTCATCCCCCAACCTGCAGTTACTGAAGCTTTGCCCGCATCGCTTCTGCCCTGTCGACGGAACCCGTGCAACCTGAACCGCCCGACCCATCTTCGATTCATTTGCCAGCACTGACCTTGTACTAGACTATACTAATACTGTACTTTTCTATACTATACTTATACTATACTATACTAATACTACTACTATGCTATACTTATTATACTATACGAATACTCCTACTATTGCTATCAATACTGTACTATACTGTTCTACAGCACTGCTTGCGGAGGCACCTCGATCTTCCACGCTCACTGTCGGACACGGAGCAAGCTCGGGGCTCATGGGCCGGATTCGGGTCCTGCTTGGAGGGCTCCTTCTTTGAAAGAGTACTATAGGGTTGTGTATTAGGAGGATCTAGTATCATGCCACTTAGTAAGTAGGGTTTAGGGCTCCTTTTAACACAGTACTATAGGGTTCTTTAATAGGGTTCCTTAAAGGGATCTATAAGGGTTCTCGAAGTTAGGGCCGGATTCTGCCCCAAAGGGTTTATTGGGGATTAGGGTTTGGGGTTCCTTTGAAGGGGTCTATAAGGGCTACTATGGGGGTTTAGTAAGGGATTAGGGTGTTTAGGGTTTAGGGGTTTAGGGTTTAGGAGTTTAGGACTTATAGTAGCGGAGTGGATACACTTTACACTTTTTGGGATAAGATCACCCACTGCAAAACTGAAAGTGTAGACTTTTTGGGGCTTATGAACTCTGCAACTATGATACGCGTTCAAGGGCAGTGTGGTTTTGAAAGTCGGCCCGTTTGGTCCCCATGTAGCAAAGGTAGTCGAGTCCCCCTTTGAGGGAGATTACACTACTATTTGCTTAAGAACCCCGAAAAAATAAAAAATATATTCCTTATGGGTGTAATATAGGGATTATTATTTTTATTTTTTGGGGGTTTCTTAAGCAAATAGTAGGTAGCAAAGGTAGTCGAGTCCCCCTTTGAGGGAGATTACAGGGTTCTATTGTAGGGGCATGTTATGGTTTATAGTAGGGTCCCTCTTAATCGTCCCCGTGCAGCTATAGTGAAAAAACTGACCCTATGTAGCTGTAGTATAACCTAAAGGGTCCTATGTACTGTTATGGGGAATACTTCCCTAAGTCATAATAGTGATTCAGAATATGGAAACCCTACATTCTACTATAGCGGTACATGGGACCCCTTGGGTAAGAATCAAGATAAGCGCCGCGCTGTCCCTGAGAGGCAGCCGAGGCTGTGTCGCAGCTGCGGCACCTGCATGAGCTGCATTGATCTCGGCGGGAGGGGGGGGGGGCAAGATGGTAGTTTCCGAAAATTAGGAGTACCTTAGGGTTCCTTTGACGGGTTACTATACGGGTACTATGAGGGTTCCTTTAAAGGGCTGTATAAGGGTTTAGAGTTTCCCAAAGTTATTGGTGTGCCTTTAAAGGCATCCTTAAAAGGTTTAGGGTTTGGGGTTTCCGAAAATTAGGGGTACCTTGTTTGGGGCCCCTTATAATAAGGATCCTACTATTTAGGGTACTATATTCGGGTCCCTTTTGCACATGCCCTGGGGATGTCCATGCACCTGCAAAGGGTTCTTGTTTCAGGACCGTTGCGGAGTCGAAAGGGTAATGAAAACTGTAAACCGTATAGAGGCTTGTCCTGTATGGAAGAGTTCGTAACCCTTAGCCCTACCTAAACCCCAAACCTTACAAAAATGGCTCCTAAACCCAAAGCCCTATAAGCCCTAAGCCCCTAAACCCTGAACTCTAAACCCGAATGCCTAACCTAGTCCCTAATCCATAGACACTTAACCCTAATCCCTGAACCCAGAAAGGGGCGTCATCAGAGTTTTGAGAGAGAAAACCGTGAAACTCTAGCTAAACCCTGAAACCCTCAAACCTAAACCTTGGGGTTCTTTGCTAAGGGGGTGGACCTACCGTGACAGGGTTGGGCATACAACAACAGAAAAGCCACAACAACTGCATACCATAACACAAATCTTGTCTGTCATGACAGTGGCAACTGCTCTTGAAGGAGCCGTGGGCTCAAGTTTTGCTTTAGTTCTTTTCTTCGCATCCTCTCGGAGATCGAGGCAAGCGGGCTAACAACAAGTTTAGAAGTTGGTATATAAGCCCATCCGCCGGCCAGGCTTGCGATGCGATTTCTCGACAGCCTTGATGGCGGCCAGCAGCCAGGCAGGAGCCCAAGAAATCAACATTTCGTGCCATGAAACCTTTGAAAAGTGGGCTCCTGAATGGGGTTCGCTTCTTGGGTTGCTTTTGCAAACGGGGGGGGCAGGAGCCCAAGAAATCAACATTTCGTGCCATGAAACCTTTGAAAAGTGGGCTCCTGAATGGGGTTCGCTTCTTGGGTTGCTTTTGCAAATCAAACGAGGGGCAGGCCTGGTAACATTTCGTGTCGGATTTTCCCTGTGATGCCTGTGAGCTTGCCACTGCCGATCATTTTACTCATAACTCCTGAGATCGAAGTCGCAGCTGCAGCTGCTTGCAGAGCTGTAGACACAACTCCGTTGGCAAACTCAAGATTGAAGTCGTAGCTGCTTGCAGAGCCGTAGATTTCATCGCGGCATGGCTGAGAAGGATGCTGCAAAAGAGCGGAAACGCAGCTTGAATTTCCGCGTCGTTGATACCTTCGTCTGCCCCAAAGTCACAGATGTTCGAGAAGCCGCTAGACTTTGGGCTTCTAAAACCCATGACGTTGTTGGCAGCTTCAGGCAGCCTTATCTTCAGCCTTCAATGCAGATGCGCACGACTGCCGTTTGCTACAAGTGCGAAGGGTGTCGCCGCTTCAACGGAAAGACGTTCGAGTTTCTTGCCGCTGACAGCGAGGATGGGGCATTCACGAAATTGACAGTGTCCCGTGCTGGTGAGTGCAGCGGTGATGCGCGGACCAAGATGCGACGATCCACGGAGCACAAAGGCAAGAAGGCTACAGTTGAGTGTACAGTTGAAGAGCGCAACTCGGTGCACGAAGCGGCTGATTTTCTGATCCAGCAAGGCTTGAAAGCAACTCCGACTGCAGTTCACATTCGTCTTGCACATGAAAAGAAGCCCCGTGTCCCGGACAATGTGGTCAGAGGCATATTGCGCTGGCGGAGAAGGAAGCTCGGCTTCACCAGCTGGAAATGCTTCGAGAGTGAAGGCTCCTTTCGTGCCATGGCGGCCGAGAGGCAGGACCCAGACCACGGTGAGCTTTGCTTTGCACATATGGATATTGGTCCAGGTAGATTCACGTGGATCTGTCTCTTGGTGCCCTTCTTTGCAGCACTCCAGCAGGCCCACGAGCAGGGAGGTTTGCAGCCATGGTGCTTGACAGCAGATTTCACTTTCAAGCTGGAAATCCTGGGATATTGCTTCCCGTGCATGTTGGCATTTGTTTCCTGACATTTGTATCCCTTGTAAGCAGGGGTGCTTTTAGCGCAAGATTGGCATGAGTTTCAGGTTATGCTATTTTGGCATGTGTGGTGATGCGGAAACTCGACGGGAGATGGCGAAGAAGTTGCCTTCCTTTGATATGCGTCTGTTCTCGCAGAGAAACGGGCGCCGTCTACGAGCAAGCTCTGGAATGCTTGCGCAAAGAATGCGATCGCCGCCAAATCCCTGGCCCAAGTCAAGTTTGCTTTGACTGGTTTTCTGGCGCGGCCACAGCAGCCGAGAGAATTTTCCCGCGAGTGAGAATTGCCCAGGGCCTTTGGCATCAACGCCGAAATATTCTCAAGAACCAAAACGCTGGGAAGAGAGTAAGAGCAGCTGAGGCCGAGGGTGCGCCCAGAAAGCGTACAAAGTCGGGAAAATTGAAGAAGCGCCCGCCGCACTTCAAGAATCGACCTGTTTATGCTTTTTTGAATCTGACTACGCAAATGGTGATGCACCCCAGCAAAGCCTTTTTCCATCTTTGCGCGACCAGAATATTTGCAAGGATCTTCCACGTTTGGCAGGAACCAGAGTGGGTGCAGTACTACCGCAGCCAGTACATGCGGCAAGTGCCGACACAGGATAGTGAGAAAGAAGGAGTCGGGCATTTCCTCACCTCCACGTGGTGGTCGGGCCTAGGCAGCAGACTACTCCCAGCGAGGCGGGTTCGGGTTCGCCGTCAAAAAAACAGACATTAATCCGTTCCGGCTTCGGTCTTTTATTCGCAGGCGTATATGTGGTCAGGTTTTGCTGTTCTTTATTTCCGCAAAGGCCAGCCACACAACAGCCGATAGAGGCGTTCCACGCATTCTTCAAACGTTCTCTGCGCTCGCAGCGGGTGCTGGAATCTCACACAGACGTGGTTCTGGCCCTTGAGGACAGTGTTCGCGCCTGGTCGTCCCCTCTTAAAGAGAACGAAGAACTTGGGTCGAAACTCACGAGCCTCATGGGGCCTGCGGATCCGGATCTCATGTCGTTCCAGCGGCCCAAGAATCCGGATAGCTGGATGATGGAAAAGGGACAGGTGCTCAGAGCACCATTCGGCAAACTGAGGTTTTATGCCGGCATTCCTGCTCTGGTCAAGCGGCTGAAACTGCCGAACACAAGGCCAGGGCTGAGCTCAAGTTAGTGGATGCGTCACCCGGCCCTAAACGCCACAAGGGAAGTAATTAAGAACGCCTGGCACAGGTTCGCGCAGGTCGTCTACACCGGCTCGCAGAAATGGATGTGCATGGCGCAGGCCAAGCCTCGAGAAGTTCCTGCTGGCATGGCAAAGAAAATGGTCGAGCAACTGAAAACACGGCGAGCGCCTGCTCTGGAAAAGCTCCTTCTCGAGTCCGGGATATTGCAGAAGGACGACGCAGCGGGTGAGATACATGAATCGGCGGGGATACGCTACGACTCTGGCACCTACGACAGCATCTGGGGGGAGTTCTGCCTGTGTTGGCAACCCCCATCCAAGCCGTATGTCGTCTGCAGCTGCTGGCAGTACTCGTGGATTGGACATTGCGCGCACCACTACGCCACAGAAGCTTGGATTCCTCTGCTGTTTTCTCGACATTGTTGTCCTTTGTTCACTTTACCTCTTAGATTCGGTTAGGTTATTTCCTGACTATTATCCATATCCCAAAAAATAGACTAATAGTCAGAATAGAATAACCTATATCTCAGGAGATAGGTTATTTAAATAACCTAAGAGAAAAGGTTATATGAAAGAATAGACTATGAGTTCCAAAGGTTATTTGAAAGAATAAACTATGATATTTTGTTTTTTGTTAGCAGGAGCAGGCACCCTAAGTAGCATTTGTTGTGCGGAACTCTTTTTTTTCCGGAACCTAGGTAACATGTGCAGGATTGCTGGCATGTTTTGCAAGACCTAAGTAACACTTGCGACATCTAAGTAGCATGTCCCCTGTCAGGTTTTTATGATTTGTGTGCAGCATGGCAGACTTGAATGTTGTTCCGTTGCGGATTGCAGGCTGAAAACATAGCAAGAAGCACAGGTATGGCATGGTGCCAGAAGAATCTTGCGAGCAGACAATAGGAAAACTGTGTGGGCACATGTGGGCTTGAAACTCATGCGACTCATGTCTATGTAGAGATTTTCTAGAGCCCTGCTGCAGCATGGCGCAGTCAAAGTATGAAACCACCCGAGTGAAAGTGGATCCGGCGATAGGCGTCATTGATCTGCAAAAGGTTTTGAAGAAGCATGTGGACAATGCCCAAGACAAGGATATTTGGAATATTCTGAAGCATCCCACCGGTGCTCCCTTCTCTTGGAAGACGGCGGTATGTATTCCGTGGATCGCTCAGGCAGCCTATCTCCTCGTAGATTTCCTCCAGGTAGCCCCGAACTGCGTTCTGCCTGCGGCGAAGCTTCGCACGAGTTTGAAGCGGTTGGTGGTTGATGGTACGGAGAAAACCAAGAAAGTGAACCGCACGAACTATGCTACAGATGATTTCGTGGACCAGATCGACAGCAGAATTCGCATCCTGCTAAGCCAAGTCCGGTGTTTGAAGAAGCAGGACGAGTACGTGAGAGCAGTGCGGACAGCCACGGAGTCGGAAAAGGCAAGGATCGACATGGTGTTGTCTCATGTGTTCTCCGAGAAGGAGAACACGGTTGGGGCAAGCTCCAGCGGCCAAGCGACTGGTCTGGAGATAGTTCCTTATAGACCTCCAGAGATGCGGAGCGAGGGCATTTTTGGAAGAATCTTGGCGAAGCAGGATAGCAGCCCACGGCCCTTGAAGAAAGCTAGCCTGGTGATGGGGCCTGGAAGTCCCGTCAAGATTTGGAGGGGAGCCGCGAAGATCTGCAGTCCGAAAGCTTCTGCGAGGGCGGCTGAGGACCCCACGGTGTTCGGGAGGCCTTTGATGGTTGGAGATTTGGGAAGCAGCTCCAGCGAGGAAGGTGCTTCACAAGCTGCTGCCTCCAGCTCTAGCAGGCCGGTCAGGAAGGTGGCCCCAAAGGCAGAGGCTCTGGTGAAGCCTTTGGTGTCAGAAGCTGCCTCGTATGGCTTGGATGCTGGAGATCTGGACATCATGAAGCAGGCGAACCTCCACAGAGTGGTGAACAACAAGAGGTCTTTCAAGAAGCCGGCAGCGGCCGTGGGCAACAGTAAGAAGAAGCACGAGAGTGCTTCGAAGGCCGCGAGTGCTTCGAAGCCCGCCGATGTTTCGAAGCCCGCCAGTGCTTCGAAGCCCGCGAAGGGCGCTTACAAGTGCAGTTTCAAGAAACGAAAGACCTCCGCTGTCTACCATAAGGAGCACACACTGAGGCTCAGGTTGGGCGACTCCCCGCAGACTGCGAAGAAGAAGGCCAGAGCTGCCATGGCAGAGGTTGCATCCAAGATAGATGCCGGTATCATCGCTGAGCATGGCTCCTAGATCTCAGCACAGTTTTCGCGGCACGGAGGCTGACGAGGTTCCAGCGAAAGCAAAATATGGTCGGCATTGTTGCAGCTCTCGACTGTCTAAGTAGCATTGTTTGGCAGCGCTTTTTTTGGAAGGCTAAGTCACATCTGCATGTCTGCATGGCATCCAGGAAGAGTGGCGGCCTGCTAGGAAGCTTTGCTCAGCCGTGCCTTTTGTTCCTCTAGTACGGAGGCTCTATGCATGGTTAAATAGCACGAGTGTTGCAGTGAAGGTTTTTGCCATCGACCACAGATATTTTTTTTCAAGTCACAAGCATTGTTCCAGTTTGCCTACAAACCGGTGAGCGAGAGCCATCTATGGCATTGTGTGCAACGAAAGGTTGCAATCGGCGGGCCGGTGGCAAACATGGCCTTTGCTGCGGCCAGTGCAACGAGGTATTCGTCGGATCGCATTCCAAATGATGCAACAGGTCGCATCCAGAGATTATGGCCACTATCCGAGTTTGTGCCCGGCCAGGTTGCGAGCTCTTGGTGACAGGTCCGTTTAGCTATTGCTGTTCTGCTTGTTGCCAGAATAGCTCTATCCATTCCAGCAGGTGCCGCAGGAGGCATGAAGCTTTGGTGGCTCAAAGGGCACAAGGAGATGGTGGGAGGCATGAAGCTGTGGCGGCCCAAGCTGCTTCTTGGCTTGGCTTGCTGGCAGGCTGTTCCAGTGCTGATTCCAAACGGCTGGCAGTAAGTTGCAGAATCACTGATTCTGCAACTTACTGCCAGCCGGTTGTGCTGCTCCTGGATCCAAACGGCTGGCAGTAAGTTGCAGAATCACTGATTCTGCAACTTACTGCCAGCCGGTTGTGCTGCTGCTGGAGCCTGAGGCTGGTTCTGCATGCGGCTGCGAAGAATGGAGAAAGGCGAAAGGACCAAGCTGGCCAGCCCACCATGGGCTACCTGTCGCAGGTAGTCCATTGTGGGCTGGCCAGCTTGATGGCTTCGCCTTTAATGCTGTGGAGGGTCAGCTGAAGAATGTGCACCAGATACAAGCGAGCCGATTCCGTTCTTGGATCAGATGGACTAGGGCTTTCTATATTGACCACATAGCCAGGCCGCGACCTCGCACGAGAAAAAAAGCTTCCAGTCCAAGAAGACCCCAAACCCCAGAAGTGATTGATGTTTTCTACTCCAAAAAAAAACTTCCGCCAAACTTAGGACAAACAAACTAGGGCCTGAGACGTTAAATACCGATAGAATGTGTTTTGGTTTTCACCAGCGACCCCAAACCCCAGAAGTGACTGATGTTTTCTACTGAAAAGAAACCTTGGCAAAGCATGGGGAAAGAACAAGGGCCTGAGACGTTATAGGTACCGGTAGAATGTGTTTTGGTTTTTCAAAAGCACCGGAAACAAGGTAACATGTTTTTCACCGTGAAACGAGAGACTATGTAACATGCCTTTTCCCCCTCTAGGTAACATTGGCAATCCCACAGTCCTTGACCCCCTCTAAGTAACATTGGTCAACTAGGTAACATGTTGTCGCCATCAAACCAAGAGCCAAAGCAAGACTAGGTAACATGCCTCTTCCCCCTCTAGGTAACATTTTGGCAATGTCGCAGTCCTTCACCCCCTCGAAGTAACATTGGCCGACTACATGTCTTGCCCCTCTAAGTAACATTGCTCGCCTTGCAACTAGGTAACATGCCAGTCTGGGCATGCAGCATGCAGCAGAGTGCGAGAGTGAAATTGTGGTCCCCGGCAGACCGGCTCCACAGAGTAGAGAAGCAGAAGCACTCTTGAGAGCAGACACTCTGTGAGCAGCCACACAGCACGACGGCACAGCTTAGAGGCACAGCCACAACACACACGTGCACACACACAGCACACAGCACAGAGCACACAGCAAGCACAGCACAGAGCAAACACAGCACAGACAGCACAGACAAGACAACACAAGAAACAAAGCCATGAGCACTACTGGCTTGTGGCTGGGCGGGCTGCCATGGTGGACAACAACCGCCGGCCTGCTAGAATGGCTAGACAAGGCTGGGGCTCCTCGTCCGCAAAACGTACAGTGGCTGCCGACACGTGGTGCTGAAGCTACCCTGTCTGCCGTGGTACTACACTACAACACCACGGCAGCACGGGACACAGCTTTGGAGCTGGCCCCCCTTAGCTACAAGGGACACAGAGTGTCGCGAAAACAGCAGCGGCCACAACCCAAAGCAGCAGCAGCACAGCAGCCGGCAGCAGCAGCAGAGCAGCCGCAGCAGCAGCGGCAGCCTGCAGCTGCAGAGCAGCGGCAGCCTGCAACAGCAGAGCAGCCGCAGCAGCACCAGGTGCCTGCACCAACAGCACAGCAACCGCAGCAGCAACCGCCGGCAGCAGCAGCAGAGCAGCGGCGGCAGCAGCAGGAACCGGGCTTTGATGATGGCTCCACTCCGAAGATGCCGCAGGCAGTGCCACCGTGGAGAGTGGCGGGTGTGAACGTGGGTATGCGCCCTGGAGCGGCCGCAATGGGTGTTGGAGCTGGAAGGCTTTTTGCTGGTACAATGGGGTCTGGACTGCCTTTACCTGGTACAATGTGGCCTGGACTGCCTTTGCCTGGTACAATGGGCCCTGGAGCGGCCGGGCTTGGAGTGCCTTTGGTGCCTGGTACAATGGGCCCTGGAGCGGCCGGGCTTGGAGTGCCTTTGGTGCCTGGTACAATGGGCCCTGGAGCGGCCGGGCTTGGAGTGCCCTTTCCTGGTTTTCCGCCAATGCCA